CAGAGACGGAGCGCCGCCTCGTTACCCTGCCCGAAGCCAGCGCTGACAGCTGATGAGTTGGTTGACGCCTCCATTTACTGAGGGAGTTTGTGACCCGGGATTTGGAAGACGTGCCTGAAGGTCACTGGCGAGTGGCTTTTGTTTTGGCTCGTGTTTGTGTGTTGATCTTCCGGCTTTTGCGTGGAAGCACAAACGCGATCTGCTGGCCGTGTTCAGACTGCGGGGTGGTTGGGAACCTTGACGGGCGTCTGGCGACACAGGTACGTGACCGTCAGTCACACGAAATCGTTACACCCGGCACTGCTTTTCTGGGTGGGAGCGCACTATTCACCTGTCTTTTCACAGCAAAGCCTGTGAAACTGAAGAATTCAGTAACACAATTTTCCCCTAATTGAAGTTTTGGTTTGTTTCGTTTTTTGTTTTTTTTTCCTTGAGTAGGTATGTTCTATTTTACCCTCACAATTGAACTATATTTTACTTAAATTGACCAGTGTTTAATGCTGTGAGAATGGTTTAGGACACGATTTTCATAGAGCCTCTTGAAGTGCTGTTGATAATTTGATGGATGCCTGTTCTCTAAGTGGATTCAGGCAGGTATACTGCGTTTACAAATGAAGGAATTCGATGCGTTCTGTCAGCAAAACGGCTGCCCAGTTCTAAGTGATCCAGACAAATCTCTTATTTATGAAAGTGGCAGAACTCTTGATGAGAGCTGCTAGAGTACTTCTTAGCTCAAGATGTGTTCTGAGGGGTATGAATACAGTCCAGTAGTCCAGTGATTAAGGTACTCATATGAGATGAGGGAAACGGGGTTCAATTTCTTGCCGTGGTAGGGGCAGTGTCTACCAGATTACCTGTAATTTTTTGCTGCCAGTATATTGTAAGTTTGCCACTTTGTTAGGTTTTATGGGAGGGTTGACTTTTATTTTAAACCCTTGTTGGAGAGCTGTATCCAGATGAATATTTTTCCCTGCGAGGCAGTGGTGTGGTTTTTTTTCCTCTCTGCTGTGAGAAGCACTGCATACATCCTGGTGAAAACAGAAAATTGAACCTGTACTGTAACAAAAGAACCAAACAAAACTGACCAAACATGGCCCTGATGACATTGTGTGATAATACTTTTTTTTTTTTCATAGAGGTGGATCTAGGTTGGATGACATGCAGTAGTTATATTGGTGGTAGCTGAATCCTGCTGTCAGGGGAGTGCAAGTTGGTTTAAATCTGCCTTTAAAATCCTTTCTCTTCTTGGGTGCATCCAGCATTTTTCTGTTTCTGAGAGTTTGCTACCAAAAATCTTATATTGATGTAGTTCTTGTTGTTTATTAAAGTTAATGGATGATACACGATTGTTGATTTTTATTTCTTTTTTCACGCTGTGAGAGATGACCTGCTTTAAAAGCTTGTAGCGGGCTACTTGAGATTGGTTTGTGTCCTAACAGTAGGAAACTGAATGCAGATGCCTTTCAGAAACATTATAAAATGTTCTGTTATAGGACTGTGCTTTCTTTTCCATATCAGTGATGTAGCACGGATTGACCTAAACCTGGCATTCCCAAACCTAAGCATTTCTCTAGAAGAATATTTTTGTATTAGCTAACAGAACTAGTGCCATAGCTAGCGTAAGAGTGACGGTATGATTTTTTCAGTATGTAAAATCCAGCCATGCTTGTTTCCCATTGTTCTGGAACAGGTAGTTCGGTTTTTTTTATTCTAAATACGTTGCAAAGTATGAGAAAATCAGGTCTGAATAACTTATTTTTCCTTCATGAAAATATATGGATGCTTTTTGGTGAAACAAAGGAAGATTAGAATGCATGCCTTCATGCTTTGACACAACACCTTGGTCTTGTACTTCAGCACCTGCTGCTGACAAGTTGGGATGCAGGGTTCTGAGACCTCCTTCTGCTCTGGGCTGAGAGGCCCTTTAACAGGATTCCTCTTTTAATATGAAATGTTTCACATTCCGCTGCTACAGGTAACCTTTCAAAACACTGCACATGATAAATTAGGAAAACTATTTACTTCCCCCTAAAACCTTGTCAGCGCTTCAGCTGTTTATAGTGAGACTTTATATTCCTTTGTTATTGTGTGAGAGATCCACATGCATGGAAGGGAAAAACATGTTTCATAAATAGGAAAATGTGATTGCAAAACTTCTAAAACAGGCAGTGTGGATTTGGAGTCATGCCTCTTAAATTATTTTTAACTTTATGTTGAAACTTGATCAGATGACCTGTTTATTGTGATCTGTCAGTGCTGCTACGTATTTATTGCTATCTTACAGTACTTTAGATTTGCCAGAACTTAAATGTGGGTTATCTTTTTGTAATTGTGTGCATGTTTCAGTTTCCCAGGAAATTTCACCTTGCTATGAGAACCGAAGATGGATCCAGAAGAGCAGGAGTTAGTTGGTGATTACAGATACAGAAATTATTCTTCAGCAATTGAGAAAGCTTTGAGAAACTTTGAATCATCAAGTGAATGGGCAGATCTTATATCTTCCCTTGGAAAACTCAATAAGGTACAGTGCCACAGGAATATTGTTTTCATTTGTTTATTATCTTTGTATTGTTTTTAACTTTTCTGTAACTTACACTACTTAGCAAAATTGAAAATTCACTCAAGAAAAATACTAGTTCATAAAGAAAGGGTACATAGAAGCAGCTAAGTCAGTATCTTTTATATAAATGTGAGAAATTTTGGTAAAACCAACAGAGGTTTTCTTCAAATGACCAATCACCCTCTCAGTAAAGAACCTTTCCCTAATGTCCAGTCTGAACTTCTCCTAATGCAGCTTCATTGTATTTCCTCATGTCCTACTGCTGGTCACCAGAGGGAGGAGATCAGCACCTCCCCCTCCATTGCCCCCCTTGAGGAAGTTGTAGCCTGTGATGAGATCACCCCTCAGCCTTCTCCAAGCTGAAAAGGCCAAGTGACCTCAGCTGCTCCTTGTTAAGTTTTGCCCTCGAGGCCTTTACCCATCGTGGTTGCCCTCCTCTGGACACAATTATGGTTTGATGTCTTTTTCCTATTGGGGCACCGGAAACTGCACACAGTACTCAACGTAGGGCCGCACTGGTGCGCTGCAGCGTGAGACAATCCACTCCCCCCACCCCCGACTGGCTAGCTGTGCTGTGCTTGGTGCACCCCAGGACACGGATGGCCCTTCTGGCTGCCAGGAAAAAGCGTTGATTCATATTCAACTTGCCACCAACCCAAGTCCCCAGATCTCTTTCCACAGGGCTCTCATCCCCCAGCTTGTACATGTAACCAGGATTACCCTGTCCGAAGTGGAGAACCCGAAAATTGCTCTTGTTAAATTTCATACATTCATGAGGCAATTGCTCAGCTGTCTAGTCTATCTAGCTCTCTCTGTAAGGCCTCTCTATCCTCAAGGGAGTCCACAGCTCCTCATAGTTTAGTATCATTGGCAGGCTTACTTAATGTATGTTCGAGTCCTGCATCCAGACCATTTGTAAGAACGTTAAAGAGCATTGGCCCTAAAATTAAGCCCCGGGGAACCTCACTGGTGTGTGGCCACCAGCCTGATGTAACCCCCTTTGAGCCTGATCGGTCAGCTAGTTGCTCAGCCAGCATATTATGGACTAGTCTAGCTGTGTGCTGGAGAGTTTATCCAGAAGGATACTATGAGAGACAGTGTCAAAAACTTCACTAAAATCCAAAAACCATACATCTTCTGGCTTCTCTTGGTCAGCTAGATGGGTGACCTTGTCATAAGAGGAAATTAAGGTGGTTAAGCAGGACTTTCCCCCTTACGGACCCATGCTGGCTATGAGCAGTGACTGCGTTGTCTCTCAACTGTTTTTCAGTAACCCCCAGAATAACCTTCTCCATAATGTTACCAGGTGCTGAAGTGAGACTGACAGGCCTGTGATTGCTAGTGTCTTCCTTCTTACACTTCCTAAAAACTGGGACAACGTTTGCCAAATTGAGGGTTTTTTAAGGGCAGACATGTTCTTTCCTCTTCAGAGGAGAGAAGATGAATATTGCTCTGGCAATAGGAGTTACTTATTTCTGCCTTCACTGTTTCGTCATGGTTCCTGTGAGTCAGTAAGGAGAGCTAGAGGCATTCAGAACACTTTTCTCAAAAGGGAAAATAAGAAATAATTAGAGTGAGAGCTTTCTTACCTGTGGCAAGAGGAGGTAGGCTTTGATCTTTTATCTTGACCTAGATGAACACACAGAAGTGATTAACACCTATCTGAAACTCTTATTCAGGTACAGAATTGCCAAAATATGTAGCAGTGTAGTAGAAACCATGCCAGAAAGCTTTCAGCTGTTACATCAGTCCATCTGCTGTGGTATTTTATGGGCTTAATCGTTTTAGGAGCTTAAGAGTTGGTAGAGCAAATCATCTCAGTGTTCATCTGCTTCTGTCTGTTATCTGAAAATAAGGATGATGTGTCAGGGGAATGTGCTGCCAAAAGGAAGATTGTGAAATAAGATGTCAATAGCGATTGTCTTAACTCTTACGATTGCTTGGTGTCTTACATCCTAAAACATAAATATTGTTGTTTTGTTAGTGCTGGGGGAGGTGTTTCTAATGTAAGAGTCTTCATTCTCCTACAGTCGGTTCTGAGGGTGAATGAATGAGCAGGGAGAGTTTATATAGGAGGGAGGAGATCGGCAGTATCTCAATGATAAAAATGTTTCTAAACACTGCACGTGGTTATATTTGGGAGCCTGGCTGTCAGTAACTGGTGTGCAGTGATGCCTATTATTAAGCAAATGTGAAAATGCTGAGAAAGGGAGAGACAAAAGAGGATGAGTAAGTTGAGGAGTTTCAGAAGTACTTTTCATGCTTCTAGAGTAACTTGGAAGATCTCTTAAGCAGGTGTTTCTTCAGGGTCTTTGTATTGTTGACTTTAGTTGTGGGTGTTCTTGCTTATATAGGTGTAATATTTTCTGAGGCTTTTTTTCCTGTAGGTAGGCTTCAGCAACACTTTGCACTATTGAGCCCTACACTTTAACACACCATGCTATTTCTGGAGAAGCAGAGTGCCATTACCCTTTCAATACAAGGTCTGGAGGAAGCAGCACAGGGTCTTGCCTACTTAAAGATGGAGGAGAAAGAATGGAGGGAGCTGATCCAGATCACTTTGGCCTTGACTGAGACAAGTCATCTCAAAGCTCTTGCTCTGTTACTCCTGGTGAAAAGAATCAACTCTGCTACTTCTTTCTACTACTACTTACCTACCTAGGTTAAACTGAACGTGTTTTTTCAGTTTCTATGTTGCTTCTTTGGTTTTTACTAATGTTTCACAGTGACTTGCAGGGCCAGTGAAACAACAGAGAAACTGGTTGACTCTAATGTGAATGATCACCCAAATGGGTCAGTTTGTACATCTAGAAAGTTTATTTTTTTATCTCTTAACAGAGATGAGCCTTATCTAACTTCCTGTGACTTCAGTGTAGACAGCTTCAATTTGAATCACTTTAAGACAGGGAGAGGAATGTGGGATTTTGTTGTTTCTTTTTTTTTTCTTGTTTTGTGATTCATCTCTTGCTGTTTTAAGTAGGTCAGGTGAATGCTGTCCTAAAATGGTGTTTGTTCTTCATGGGCTTTATAGGGAGCCTGAGGTGAGTTACTGCAGTTTTGCCCATTTTTTTAGCTGACCTACGCTTCTAAGGTTGGGTCATGTGAATATCCCTGCAGTGTTCTGAAGAGAACTGCAGGTAACAAGTGTGAGTATGAGTGAAGGATGGAGCCTTGGCAGAATTTGCTAACATGCTACACCCCAAGTTTGTAAGGGAAAGGTTTTTGGGGTCTTAATTTGAATAGCATGGGTGTTACACATCATCATGATGAAGGAGAAACAGCAGAAAGCAATGTTTACAAATACTTACAGAAGAATATAAATGGACAGATGCAAACAGATGGATGAAACAGGCAAGTAAATACTGATGTAAATATTTTAAAGAGGGTTGTTAGCTTTGCCCTGAAACATACTCGTATTCCACTTCTAAGTCTCCCTCTCTGTGCTTTGCTTCTGTTCAAGCTCTAGTTCATATAAACCAGTCATTTAGCAGTTGCAGCCTAAGCTGCTCCATTCTTCAAGAAGTAGGATTATTCTCTTCCCAATACTCTTCTTGGATACAGCTTTGAAACATGTTTTTATTGTTTTTGGAAATGTGCATACGTTCACTGTTTGGAAAGTGCTGTTTTGTGACTAAGATTTTCAGACGTTCAGTGCATCCAGAATACAGTAATCCTCCTCATTTGTCTTAGTGCTAAAATGTGATTGCACTATTGCAGGCTTTTCCAGCTTGTTCCAATGTTGTGAAAAGATACAACTCTGAGAACTCACTTTGATAGAAAAAAATGCTGGAGGGGTGGAGTGTGTTGTCTTTTTAAACCTAGAAATAGGTGATGGTTCAGAATATGTGAGTTTGTCATTGAAATAGGTGCTTCTAGCATTGTTTTCAAACACAAAATGAATTGTCACTGTGTGCTGGTTTTAGTTGGGACAGAGTAATTTTATTCACAGTAGCTGGCATGAGGCTGCGTTGTGGATCTGTGCTGAGTATTGATAAAACACTGGTGTTTATAGTTGTTGCTAAGGAGTGTTTATAGCAAGTCAAGGACTTTTTCGGTTTCTAGTGCTGTGCTTCTGTTCCCAGCTTCTTCGCTACAAGAAGCTGGGAGGGGACACGGTCAGGATGGCTGGCCCAGACTGGCCAAGGAGGTATTTCACTCCATAAAAGAGCATGCTCAGTGTATGGGTTGGAGGTTGCACCAGGGGTGGCCTCTCTCTTCCTGTCCAGCCCTGGCTCTCAGTCAGTCGGTGGGTGGTGAGCGGTTGTATAATTTGTTTTCTTTTCTATTACATATTATTAGTATTGTTAGTATCATTATTTTATGTCATTTACTTTCAATTATTTGTTCTTACCGCAACCCATGAGTTTCCTTGTCTTTTCCTCAGTTTCTCCTCCTCCACTGGAAGAGTTTGCATTAGGGTTTTTAGTATAGATTATAGGCATATATTTTCCAGAAATTTTAGCTCTGGGTGCAGGCAAACAATAGATAAGTGACACATTTTGCAAAATGAAGAACTGAGCAGTAGTAAATATAAATAAGCCTAGTTTTCTAAGGAAAATATGAAAGGAGGTTTTCAAAAAAGCCCCTGAAATTTACTGATTCACAGAAGAGCACAGATTCTCACTGGCTTTTTGAAAGTGAACAGAGGAGTTTAAACATTCTTTTCCATATATATTAAAAAACAGCAATGAACAACAACAAAAAAAAAAAGCCAACCAACCTACAAAGAAAAACCCTAACATGCGTCTGTTTGCCAAGAATAATGGGCAGGATTTTGCCATGTATACTGTCAGAAATACTTGGTTCAATGACTTCTCAACAGTTCTTGGGTATCAGTGGTATGGAACTTGCACATAAGCTTCATTAGTGACTGTTGCCAATGAGCCTGGCTGGCAGGCCAATGTCCCTCTTCTGAGCAAGATGTTAATTTATGGTTACTGTTCACCAGGAACACAAAATACAGTAACATTTGAAAAATCAGTTGTTCTGGAGGGATTTATTTTATGCTTATAGCACGGTTGACTTGCTCAGTAATTATAGCAATATTTGCTCTAGAAGAGCACTTTCAAACTGCTTTTTATCCGTGGATATAACACAAATGTGCAAATGCACAGGTTATAAGCTTCTTAAAATAGTGATTTCAGTCTTTAGTCTGCAATATCAGAGTTGGTTTTTTTTTTAAATTTGACTTTCAATAGAAAATAAGTATGTTACTTTTTGTTTCCATAGGCTTGTCTTGCTTCAAAAACTTCAAGGTAAATATGATCTCAACCAAACACTTGATCTGTTTGGAGGGGAAGGGGAAAGAAAGCACAAAAATCATTGGAGCTGCACAGTTCTTTTTTGTTTCAGCAGTGACACTTAATGTCACAATATGTCTGTTCTTGAGGGGAGAGAAGAGAATGAGTCCTCTGAAATACGGATTTAATGAGCATAGCCATTAATTACACCAGTTGCTTCATAGGAGAACTGACTGCCACAGCTTTATGACAACTTCTTGGCTGAATTACAAACACAACCACCACTTGCCTTCTGTTAAAGGCAAGCCTTGTATCTTTGAGAAGGGAAGCTGTGCCTCCTAATTGCTTTATGGAATTTCACCACACCCGATGCACAAATGCAATGTGCAGGACTAGGGATATTTTATACTTTATTTTTTCCCCTTCTTCTTTACTGTAACTCCAGCTTCTCATTTACAGTTTCCTTGAAACCATCTTTGAACACATGCTGCTATTTTTATGGAAGCTGGAGCTCTGTTTAGTATTTTTTTTTTTTTTACTTGGCAAATGAGTCAGTGGAAAGTGGAATCACAGGCTCTCCTTCTCGCCCTCTCCTCCCAACCAATGTTGTCTAAAACAAGCATTATAGTATCACCTAGTTGAAGATAATCTTACCAATTGATGTACATGCTGCCTTTTTCTGAAATTCTAGCTATGTAAATAAAAATACTAATTGATTTGCTTGGGTTTTTTATGTCTGTGCAAATTGATCTAACTGATCTCTAGTGATGCTATAAAGCAGTGCAGAATGACTTAAACCAGTAACTGTGGAAATGTAACTATTCCTCTGTGTGAGGCTGTATTTGTTTTGTTTTAAGGCCCATGTATACACTGCTACAAAGAATAGAGTCTTCCCTTTCTACCCTTATAGCTCACATTCAAAGAAACTCTGAGCATGCGTACGGATTAGAAAATGTTTAGTGTGTATAATGTATTCTCTAGTCAGGCATAAAGAAAAAGAATCTGTGAAAAGTTGAAAACCAGACAGAGACATGGACATAAGTCATTACTTTGCATGTCTCATGACCTACTGATTAAATTCTTTATTTTAAAGGCCAGTGGTAGGTCAAATACTTCTTTGTTTTCTGGGATAGTTGATTTCTCACTGAGTTGTGAAAACCAAACCCTGGGATGATATATTAAGCATGGCAGTTCAGGCTTTTCAAGCCAACCCTTATTAGCAGTTGTGGTAACACTTAACGCTTCTGCCACCATGACTGCTCATCTGGAAAGCAGTTGGAGATAAGGAGGAAAGGTGGATCATGGATGGGCTTCAGCCCATATGTAACTAAAGATGGTTGAATTAAGTTCACAAGAAACAAAAGAATGGTTAAATAATAGGTGTTGAAACCTGTGAGCAGAGTTGTCTATCTGCAGTCATTAGTGTTGGATTCTGAATATGGAAGCAATGGCTTAGGATGGGATCTCCATCTGCATACAGTGCAATAGTACCAGTCTTGCTACCACAACATTTAACTACCTGCAACAGCTGAAACTATAATGTTAGCAGTCCTAGGTCTCACAGACAACGGACTCTTTTTTTTCAATTGTGGCAGCTCAGGATATTTAAAAATAAAGTTTCTTAGCTTCGTCTGTCAGCTCACAGAAACTAATCAGCATTTGGAAATACGTATATTAACATCTCTCATTTCAGTGGACAGTTTTAGATCTGTCCAGTAATTAACGTCTTTAAACCCTTTTAAAATTCTTTTAACCCGGCAATTCTGGGGAAGCTGTTGAGAACCTGAATCTTTCAGCAAAGCAGCAGCCAGCACACCTCTCTACTGGAATGTGTCTTGGTGCAGCCACAGCCTTCTAATAGATTGCAGTGTGGTTTAAAATCCCTTGTATGTGCTGGAAGATCAGAGACGGCTGTTCACCAGGAACATGTGCTGTTGAGAAGAATTATAGCTTGTGTCCAGCTGTGTATTTAACATGTACATTAATGTTCTGTTAGTCTCACCTGCTGGAATTTGGACATATGAACGTTTCAGAGTTACCCAGGAGAAATGCGTAATGCTAAGTTCCCCCGGAATATCCCCTATTCAATTCCTAAGGTGCCTGGAGTATTCTTTTCCTCTTCTGACTAAATGTTATGCTTAGATATTCCTCATGTTTGGGGAAGGAGAATTCTTATTTGCTGGTGGACATTTACTTTGCATCCTTAGGAAATTAAATAAGCCAAATGACACTTTTTTAATGAGGTGGCATTATTTCTGTAATGTATTAGACTATCTGTGTAATAAATTATGAATGTTTTCATTTTCTACTGAGTTGCTGTTTAAATTTTAACTGATTGAACAAATACCATCTTAATATTCTATCTTAAGATTGAGGGGAAAAATATTTACCACTGGCATATTTTTTTGTAATTGCCTTCTTTTATATATACAGAGGGTGTGGGCAAATACATACCAACCAATATAAACAGAATGTTTCAAAGTCCAGCTCTCAAGCAGTCTTCAAAGTTATTACATGTATTAAGGTTTCAGTCTTTAATATTGAAAAAATATCATAGGATCACAGAATGGTTTGGGTTGGGAGGGACCTTAAAGATCATCTAATTCCAACCCCACTGCCATGGGCAGGGACACCTTCCACTAGACCAGGTTGCTCAAAGCCTCATCCAGCCTGGCCTTGAACACTTCTAGGGATGGGGCATCCACAGCTTCCTCATGTAATATTTGAGTAAATGTCTCAAATATAAAAGATAACTCCACAAATATAACCTGGTTTAGTTTCATATGTGAAATATTGCTGTGTTCTTGGATTCTAGTTTTTAGTACCTATTGAAATACAGATCTCATACTGGGGGGTGGGTGGAGGAAAGAACATGATTGGCTCTAAATGACTTTGGTATTGTGTGTATTTAAGAATGGTATGACTTTTCTATTTACTGTTGTTACAAACTCTCAGCCTTTTTCTTCTTGAATAAATTTTATTTACTAGCAGCTCTTTACCAACAACTGTTCTCTCAGTTTAGGCAGGCCAGCAAGTGGGAAAAATAATGCAATAGTAGGCTCACAGACCCTAGCTTCTCATGCCCATCAACTGCAGTCTTCAAGGATAAGTTGCATGCACCTTTGAAAGATGATGTGTTTTATCTCTTCTGACTGCTGCTGAGAGTATCCAGCATTCAAGTGAATGACGAGACCATTGCTGAGCTGTTCCGGGTCTTTTTCTTGGGAAGGAGCAAGGAAATGCTAGTTCATGTGGCTGCTGCTTTTTCAAAACCTTTTCTCAGGCAGGATAGAAGAACCTCAAGTTTAAAGCAATTATGAAGGATAAGACTATTATTTAACCTTTTGGAGAGTCAAGAATTTTCCTAATCCTGAAAACATCCCAAATGTCAATCTGCAGTGAAACATCTGCTTGCAGACAGTGCTCAAAGGCTGAAGTGCCATCTGCTTGCAACTTCTTTCTTCAATTGTCTCTGAATTGAAGAGGCATACTTAATTACACTGCTGAAATGCATGCATGGCTCAAGGAAAGGTGCTACAGTTTGTTTTTTCCAGAGACTTGGCCTGTCTGCAATACTTAGTTAACTATTTCCTGTCCTGAAGATCTTTTACTTAAACGTCAATACAGTGGGTATAGTTAAGAAAGCTTACTGAATTGGTGACTTCTGTGAAGCCAGACAGAATTACAAATGGTTTCTAAGATGTTGTTGTCCCATTTAGTCATGCCTGCTTTGATTGAAAGATTTTTTTTGTTTATATTTCCTCTATATGTAAAATTAAAATTTTATGAGGAAAGACATTTATTTAACTCTTGCTTTATTCCCTGTCCTTAAAAGCTGAGATGCTGCTCTTGTCACTTCCCTACTTCCACTGGAGATAGGATAAGGGTACCCCGTGCTTGTCATGTCCTTCAACTTCTATTTCCAGCCTCTAAGCAAAGTAAAACCAGACTTTTCTGGGTTTTCATGACTGATTCCATATGAAAATTCAGTTGCAGAATTCAAATGTCTCAGTGTGAAAAAAAAAGAAGCATTTATGACATAAAACTCTTGAAAGCATTTAGTTCTTCTCAGTGTGCTGAGATGTGCAGTCATCATATACATCACCTTTTACATTATAGCTGTTTATTCTCATCTCCTTTCTTCCACAGGCTCTTCAGAGTAACCTGAAGTATTCTCTGTTGCCAAGACGGCTGATCATCAGTAAAAGATTGTCTCAGTGTTTGCATCCAGCACTTCCTAGTGGGGTGCATTTAAAGGCACTAGAAACCTATGAAATAATCTTTAAAATTATTGGGACAAAATGGCTCGCCAAGGATTTATTCTTGTACAGGTAAACTTTTCTTTAAAGGTGTACACATTTCACAGTCCATTTTAATTAACTAAATTTTTTTTCTTAAAATTTTTTTCTTTTTCTTTTTTAAATAAGCTCTGGTTTGTTTCCTCTGCTGGCAAATGCAGCAATGTCAGTGAGGCCTGTTCTCCTTGGTTTGTATGAGAAATACTTTCTTCCTCTCCAAAAGTCCCTCCTGCCGGGTCTTCAAGCCTTTGTAATTGGACTGCTGCCTGGATTGGAAGAAGGATCAGAAATTTATGACAGGTGAGAACTAATATTAATTTAAGAGCAATATACAGTATTTTGCTTTCCTACGGAAGTCTCAGGAAATTTCTGTCAGATCTCAAGGTAGAAGGCTTGATAAAAGAGCTTCTAAAGGTGGAAGAATGGTGAGTCTCTAAAAGATCATAGAATCACAGAATGGTTTGGGTCAAAGGAACCTTAAAGACCATCCAGTTCCAACCCCCCTGCCATGGGCAGGGACACCTTCCACTAGACCAGGTTGCTCAAAGCCCCATCCAGCCTGGCCTTGAACGCTTCCAGGGAGGGGGCATCCATCACTTCTCAGGGCAAACTGTTCCAGTGCCTACCAGCCTCTCCATGAAGAACTTCTTCCTGATATCTAATCTAAACCTCCCCACTTTCAATTTAAACCCGTTACCCCTTGTCCTGTCACTACAGGCCCTTGTAAAAAGTCCCCCCCAGCTTCCTTGTAGCCCCTTCAGGTACTGGAAGGTGCTATAAGGTCTCCCCGGAGCCTTCTCTTCTCCAGGCTGAACAAGCCCAACTCTCTCAGCCTGTCCCCATAGCAGAGGTGCTCCAGCCCTCAGAGCATCTTCATGGCCTCCTCTGGACTCGCAACAAATAGTGCTGAAGTAGAAAAATCCTTTCCTTTTTCATTTTCAGCTCAGGAGGATAAGAGTAGAGAAGAGGAAAAGGAGGGTTAAAAATAGATGTGCTGAGAGAAAGGAATAAAAAATATTTCTTAAAGCTTCTCTGAACTCCTAAATAATTAACCTGACCCCGGAAACCACTGCTCTGTCGATAAATTGAATTTAAATATTGTAACACGAGACAGCAGCTGAATTCTTTCCAGTCTTTCTATACCAATACTTACCCTCATGTTTGAAAATAGGAGGTAGAAGCAACTTTTATAAAATCTGTTATGGAAAAAAGTCTCTCTCTCTCTCGGGTGCCCCTGGCAGTAATGACAATGATGTTCAGTACGATAAAGTCAGGATCAGGAAGTGTGCTGAGAAGAGCAGCTCAGCGCCCATTTGTGTAGTGGTTTTACTTCAGTTACCAGAACTGTTTTGTAAGATCTTATAAGAATGCAACCACTGTAGGTTTCATCCAAATGTTTCTTTGCTTAAACAGTCAGTAAACACTGCCTTGGTAATGTACTTCCTTCTGTATTACCGGTCTGGATGTGTTGGCTGTTCTCTTTGCCCTTTTTGATCCTTAAATAGTAGTGTGTACATTAAAAAAAAAACCACCCCGAGATATGCTAGGCAGCATAGATTACAGTTGATAAGCAAAATACTTCTATGTCTAATGCCTCTTTTTGAAAACAAGTATTAAATTGAAGGTTCATATCAGTTGTTGGAGCAGGTAAGAGTAGATTGCATGTGTTCCCAACTTGGTGAGTAGCATTCAGTTGACAGTTCCAGGATATCAGATTTATGGACAAGAACATACCTCTTGTACATCTACTGTAGAAACATGGATTTTAGTATGTGCTTTTTGTTGGGGAGGTTTATAAGCGATGCTGTGTAGATTTCTCTTTCCTACAGCACTAGTTGCTGGAGACTTGGGGGAGAAATGGAACTCGAAACTAAATCTGTCTATCTGAAGCCTTTTTAGGGAGACTGATCTTATTTGGAAGCTGACTAAATTTGAAGTAGTGAGTTAATTCAACAGCGTTAGGTTAACAGTTGGACTTGGTGATCTTAATGGTCTTTTCCACCCTAAAAGATTCTATAGGAACTGCAGATTCATTTCCAAGATCTGACTTCTGGTTTTATACCCTTTTTTCCCCTATTCTTGATGACATTGTTTTTGTCTTTGCCCCAAAACAGGGTCACAGGCAGAAACCAACTGTGTATTTCACTGTGAAAGATTTATGCTAAAATTAATTTAGTGTTATTTTATGGAATACAAAAATTACACGAGAAAGTAAGAAGAGTTTACTCAGTGTAATGATTATGGTGCAAGATACCTTGTCACAGGATGTGTTAGATTAATTTTAAATTCAGCTTCATAAGACATTCTCCACCAAACATTTTCAGAATCTGCGACGTTGAAGACTAATACTAATACATCCGCTGCTGTTCTGAAAGTGGCAGAAGTGCTGGCTACAGTTGTGCTTCACCCTAGAATCTATTTCCTTCTTAAACTCACACACACGCTTGAGTTTTCACACAAGCACACAGAGAAAACTGTAAAGAAAAAATGGTTTGAGGGCTACTTTATAAAGAAATGGAAAATAACATCAGATGGCAAGGGGGTTTGTCCCTTGTCTGTGCTGGACTTCTTCCTCTTTTCTCACTTCTACATTCCTCATGTGAGGTTTTAAGTCCTACATTATAGTAAAATACTGGCATACTACAGAGTTGCCAAAGCAGAGAATGTACCTTCAGTCATAGGATGCCCAATGTGCTTGCCTTTAAGCTAATTTCACTGTGCTCATCCTGTGTGCAGTAACTGGCAGCGTGTCATTTTGTCTCATGGGCTTTTTTCACTCAGTGGCTTACAAACTGAGCCCATTGATTTGTAAGTGCAAATATAGGATATCTTCCAGTTCCCAGACTAATAAAATCGGCTTTCAGAGTCTAGCATCAGCTTAAATGGCTTCCAGTTCAGCATTGCACACTTCTCACCATAAATATTTTGCAATCAGAGCTCCTGCAGTAATTTGGTCAGAGCTTAATGTTTGCAGATAATTACTGGCAAAGTTTCCAAAGTATGCACAGAGTATTTCAGTGAGTGTGCACAGTGGAAAAGGATTGAGAGTGTTTTGGTTGTTTTCATACAGTCAGATGCTGGTCATCTTCATGTGAAAATGGCAATAGTGATAATACAAAGACCAGGAAATTAAATAAACAATTCCGACTGCTATACTATATACTGTATAATTGCTTTTTTATGGTATAAATCTGAACTAACAGAGATCTATTTTCTCATGTCAAATATATTTCTGTACAGAACAGATGCTCTGCTCGTGAAGCTGTCCCTGTTGATGGGCCAAGAAATGTTCTATGGAGCACTCTGGGGCAGTGTCCTGGTCAGCCCATCCATCAGGCTGCCGGCTTCTCTTTTTGTTGTCAGTCATATCAACAGAGAGCTGTCTGGAAAACAGCAGAAATACATGCTTGGCATTGATTATAAGCTCACAGTAAGTTCATTACGCTCCTTGTAGAACACACTTACCTACCAAAATACCTGCATACTAGCAGGTTGTGCCTTCTCTGTATTCAATTAGAATGACACGGTCTTAAAAATATTTTGGACAGAGAGAAAAAGAGACTGATGGAATCGCTTTACACGGTTACTTCATGGGAGCATCTTCCCTGAAATATAGCAGAGAATCTCCCATACCGATTTTGGTTAGCATACAGAATACAAGCCTCCTGAAGGTTCTAAGCAGTTTAGGTTATCACTACTGCATACAGCCTTAACAGACTCTCTCTGGTTCAAATCAGAAGATAAACCTGACATCTTTTCTCTGCTTGTTCTGAATTTGCATTTAAGGCTGAAGACCAGCTTTTCTATAATACAGTATATACAATGTTCATTATGGATTTCTCGAAGTGTTTGCGGTCCTCTAAGACAATTCTGAAACTCAGTATCTTTTTATTTTTTCAGTGAAATGGAACTCTTCAGTAGGTAGTAATTTACATTAAACTTGAGTGATGGAATAACTATTGCTAGTTAGAGTAATTTGGCATCTCCATTTTGTAAGGCTTCACATTCTGTCTGATAACTGGTGGTGCCACACTGTCCCGTTCTGTATTGTTATAAATCCAAGTTATTTTGTAAGTAGTAATGATTCTGTTAATATTATTCCGCAAAACTATTTTTAACTCATTTTGGTGGCAGGATTTAAATGGCTGAGTAATTATTCTCTTATTTAAAAATATGTTATTCACATGTAACCAAGTTTGCTTTCTTTCATTCTTGTGATTATTAACACTGGTCATAGTTCAAAAGTTATCATGAAGTTAAAACACCATTGTGCTTTCTTTTCCTTGTACAGATAAAGTCTTTGTGTGTGTCAGTATTGGATTCAAATGTCCTTGTGCAAAGAAACACTCTAGAAGTGATTCTCTTCTTCTTCCCATTTTATACAGCTTTGGTAAGAGCACTGTTTTGGTATTGTTGCATGAAGGTGTCTCCTGTGAAACCAGTCCAGCTCCTATCTCTGTTATTGCCAAACATCTGAATTCTGTACCTTCAAAATCAATGAACGGATTTTGCAGTTCCCTCATCAATTTATTTAAATAATAAATTATTATTAGAGGAGAGACTGCTGCTTCTGAAACTCCTTACAGCTTCAAATGAAGATGTGCTTTCACAGTGAATATGGCATGATGTTTGGAATGTGCTTGAAGTATTCAGGCCTGAGAAACTGCATATGGAAAAATATCCAGCTCCTTTTTCAAGTAGGATTTTGGCTGTGCTAAACTAAGATATTTCTGTTTAAGAGTAGGAAAGAAAATGTTACTTGGAACAAGACCCATCATTTCTGAACTTACCTAGTAGGATAGTCAGTGTTTTGAAAGTAGCAAGTAATTTTAAGTCTTAAGGCATAATATAATGAAGTCTGTAATTACTATATACTATAAAAAATAAAT